GGCTTCAGAAATTTCAGGCCGCTTTTACATAGCTCCTTCCGTCTTAATTGTAAGTCGCATCCCCGCTGCATCGAGGGAAGAGTGGTATGTCATGTTCTCTTAATTGCTGTGGAGCCTGGCAAGACCTGCCACGAAGGCGGCCCGTGGATGTTAAGGAACAGACACTAGGCAAACACTGGATGTGTAATATCCTGCGTGCTGGGTCTGATTTTTAGTTCTGGCAACAAACTGTACTTTGGGGCAGGTAAATTATTTTGTCTGTACCTCAGTGTCCCCGTCTGTAAAATGGGATTGGTGAGAGGGCTCTCAGGATGAGATGGTTAATGTAAAGCTCTAAATATAGTTAATGCTTAGCACCTCAGAAGTACTTAGCAGATGCTTACTGTTACTGTTTCCTCTGCTCAGTGACTACTTGAGCCAAGTGCTGGTGAGTCTTTTTCCAACAGTTCAGTTGAGAGGTCCAGAGGAATATTTTTCTGGGAAGTGTTGATCATGTTGATCACCTTTTGTTAGTATGTAAAATGGTCACTCTTGAGAGAATGCAGGAAGTGGGCTTTAAGAATTGGGTTTCTCAGAGGGGCGCCTGGGTGGCGCAGTCGGTTAAGCGTCCGACTTCAGCCAGGTCACGATCTCGCGTGTCCGTGAGTTCGAGCCCCGCGTCAGGCTCCGGGCTGATGGCTCGGAGCCTGGAGCCTGTTTCCGATTCTGTGTCTCCCTCTCTCTCTGCCCCTCCCCCGTTCATGCTCTGTCTCTCTCTGTCCCAAAAATAAATAAACGTTGAAAAAAAAAAATTTAAGAATTGGGTTTCTCAGAGACTGCCAGTGAATTCGAGATGAAAGCATACTTCTCTGAAATTTAGCTATATTTTAGTTACAATTCTGGAATTAATAGGTGAAATGGTGTAAATATCCAGCCCCTCCTGACTTTCTGAGCTTTAGGCTTGAGGGAAATGTGGACAATATACCTACTTCACAGTGTCTATTTAAAAGATTCTTAAAAAAAAAAAAAAAAAAAAAAAAAAGATTTCTTGTTTTGATAGTGACAATTTCAAGTATGCTGAAAAGGACAGATGACAGTATGACACCCTCTACCAGTCACCAAGATTTAACACATATTAATATGTTACCATGTTTGTTTCACATCTCTGCCTATGGTATGATTTAAAAAAATAAATGTTACCTAAGCCTTTTCAGCCCCATTTTTCTTTCCCTTCTCTCCCTCTCCAGAGATAATAACTACTTTCCTGAGTTGGTGTGTAACTTTACTGTAGAGAAATAAACAACATATGTTTTATACATTTAAACAGTACATTATACATTAAGACATTTACAAAAAAATGGTACCTTATTGTATCTAAGATTTTAGAATTTGTTGTTTTCCTCTAATGTTCTGTTGCTGAGATTCATAAGTGTGGACAAATATAGACATAGTCCATTCTTTTTAATTGCTGTCTGGCATTCCAGAGTGTAAAGAAACGAGTTTTATCTTGTTTCCTTTACATTGCACTTTATGCAACTTAAATCATGCTGGTGTAGTTTAAGTCCATTTTGACACATTTACTCATTCTATACTGGTTATGGGGACTCTGGTCACAGTTCTCAGTATAAAAATGTATCTTTGGGTATGACCTCTTATGCAGAATAAATGATAATGTATACTGGGCTGAAAAAAAAATTATTTTGTCTCTGGTGCTTCTATTTGGGAAAGTGAAGTAGTTAAGATCTATTATGTGGCCTGGTGTCAGGTATTAGATTTAAGTTTCTAAAAATCAGAGACTAGGTCTTTCTCAGCTCTGTGTCTGTCTCAGCTCTCTTCATAGTTTTCTGCACATAAATGTTTGTGACATTGATTATTTTTACTTTTGGGGTTCTCATACCCTTCATATATTTGAAGAGTTGATGGTGCAATTTTCAAAACTTTGCACCTTTAGGTTTAATATTTCCAGTGCCTTTTAAGTTTTCCAATTTCCCCATTCGATTCAGAAACAAAATTAAAAGCATTTTATTTTTTTAAATTAAAAAAATGTTTTTATTTATTTTTGAGACAGAGAGAAACAGAGCATGAGCAGGGGAGGGGCAGAGAGAGAGGGAGACTAATCTGAAACAGGCTCCAGGCTCTGAGCTGTCAGCACAGAGCCTGATGTGGGGCTCAAACTCACGGACCGTGAGATCATGACCTGAGCTGAAGTCGGATGCTCAACCGACTGAGCCACCCAGATGCCCCCAAATTAAAAGCATTTTAAAAAGCAAGGTATGAATATCAGTTTGTAGAATGTTACCAGTTGCATAATATGTGCTGTATGTATTTGTAAGCAAATACATCTGTATTTATATATGCATATAGTTTACTTATAGAAGTATAGATAAGAATATAGTAACTCATAGCATCCAGTGAGAAGAACTACATGGCTGGGGAACACAGATGAGAAGAATTTTTGCTATGTAGCCTCTTGTGACTTCTCAGTTTTAAACCATGCAAATGTATTACCTAATCAAAAAATAAGTTAAAATTATATATCTATATATACATATATATGTATATATATAAAACTTCTCCCCTTAAGCCATTTTACCATATTTTTAAGATTTAACTTCCTTTCCTTAAAGCTTTGGCCTTAATAACATTTTTGCCTTTTTCATTGTTGGTTTATTTAGCTAGGTTACTCTCAGTTTTGTTAGAATAACCTTTGACTTACTTGGTAAATACTAAGTATTTTAGTATTGCAAGATAGAGTTTACTGTTCTTCTAAAATGAAAACAAATTAACCAACCATGAAAGATTTGCTTTGCCCTACCCAGCAAGTTGAATATCACCAACAAGTTATTCAACTCAAATTTAATCATCAGTGAAAGAGGGATAATGCACAAGAACATTTATTTATTTTTTTTTAAAAAAGTTTTTTTTTTTCAACGTTTTTTATTTATTTTTGGGACAGAGAGAGACAGAGCATGAACGGGGGAGGGGCAGAGAGAGAGGGAGACACAGAATCGGAAACAGGCTCCAGGCTCCGAGCCACCAGCCCAGAGCCCGACGCGGGGCTCGAACTCACGGACCGCGAGATCGTGACCTGGCTGAAGTCGGACGCTTAACTGACTGCGCCACCCAGGCGCCCCAAGAACATTTAAAATAATCATTTTTGGAAAAATATTTTTGCCTTTAACGATATTGGTAGTTGCTTAGAGCTTATGAATACAACTGTCTTGACAGATGCTTATTTCATTATTTTATAAATGATTTCTGTTGGGTGCCATTAGCTTTTACCAGAGATTGTGAAGTTCAGAATGGGCCTAATGATGGGGCAGTTTGTGTGCTCACAGAAGTTCTAGCCCAATACAGAGGTGAGATGGCCACTGATGAGATTTCCAGCGGGTTTTAGAGTATCCTGGTCTAAAAGGCAGCTCCCCTTTTACTGGCATCTTTACTCAAGCTTCTCTGTATTACTGATTGCAAGTTCTAAATATTGACACACTTCCTGAAGCAAAAGCGTTGCATCCATAAGGTGGAATTTTACATTGATATAGAGAAGTTTAAAATGCTCCATAAAACATCTCTTATCCCTTGCCACCAATTTTTACTTTTGAATGAAGGGTGTAGATGGCAGGAGGGCAGAGGAGTTGAACAAAAGTATATATGTGTATGGTAAGGCCATACTGCTCAGAGGAAGATAGCAACTAAAAGGGGTGAGGTGGAGAGGGACCAAAGTTTACGTCAGGGTTTTCAGTAAGAGGCAACCCTGAGACCGGGTTTTGAAGAATGGGGAGGAGGCCGGGCAAGGGGAAAAGGAAGTTTTAGGTAGAGGTACTTCTATCTAGAAAGGCACAGAGATTTGAAGACTCACTGGTTGAACCGCAGGCACTTTTGTATGGCTTTGGCACCGAGTACAGGTAATTGTAGGTCGAGGAGAAGTGGTTGGAAAGATGGGCTAGGCCCAGATCAGCAATTCGTACTTCATCCATAGGTTATGTATTCTGTCGATCATGGTAATCAGATTTACAAACTTTGGACCGATCACACTCTGAAAGCCTGTGCGAGGCAAGCAAAGACTGGCAACAGGCAAATCCCTGTGGCAGCTCTTAACAGTAGTTCAAACCTAAAATGAGAGGTTGGGCTGGGAGATGTCCTGGTGGGGAGGAAGAGGAGGAGCTAGATTTGAAAGCTGTTTAGGAGGCGGAATTGACAGGGCTTGGGAGGTACAAAGTAAGGAACAGAGAAGACAAGGATGTCAGAGCATTTGGATGAATGGAAGTTCATAACTGACTTACATAACAAGGAAGGAGGAACAGAAATGAGGGGAAAAAAAGTAAGTTTGGGTTGGGCTACCGACTTTAAGGTGTGTGTATAAGACAAGAGATGTCTCGTAGGCATTTGGAGTTGTCAAGTTTGTAGGCACTGGCTGTAGGTGCTAATGAGGCTTTGAAGGTAGGGGTTTTTATTTTACCGTTCTCTTCCTCAGCACTAATCACAGTGCTTTGTAGATAGTGGGTATTTAGTGTGAGGGTGAATAGATCTTATCCCTTATAAAATGTGATCTTGAACCTTGAGTTCATTTCCTCTTTCAAGACCTGTGTTTTCCTTTTTGTAAAAGAGAGAGTTGAACTAGATCAGTTATTCTCAGTCACAGTTTTGTAGTAGACCGGTATGTTGGGATCAGTTGTGAGACATTGAGAGTAGTTTCTAACTAATTAAGAGCTGATGGTTCCTTGCCCTTCAAAGAGGAGTTGATTTATATCACTGTTTCTTAATTGCATTCCAGTGTGTTTTCTTAAGTGTCACAGAAAGGGGTGGAATTAGTCAGCTGGAATTTCTTAGCTCTGGGTGTACCAGTGGGTGTGTCACACAGGAGTGGGGGTGGAAAAAAGGTTAAGAAGCACTGTGTTAAATGTTGGTTAAAGGCTTATTAGAACTGCAGAATTCTGTGTTTGTATCTAGGACCTATCATTCTGGTTATAAATAATTTGTTTTTGCAACTTTAGGAACTCTATTTTAAGAATCTCTCAAAGCAAAAGAAACAAGTCATGGAGAAGAATGGGAATAACCGAAAGCTTCGGGTTTGTGTTGCGACTTGCAACCGTGCCGATTATTCGAAACTTGCCCCGATCATGTTTGGCATTAAAATGGAACCTGAGTTCTTTGAACTTGATGTGGTGGTACTTGGCTCTCACCTGATAGATGATTATGGGTAAGATGAAAGCATTTTCTTATGATATTCTTAATTGCAACAAGGTGTGCAGAGAGCTTGGCTCTTGGCCTCATGTGGACCTAGCTTCAAATCCCAGTTGTGCCATTTAGTTTTTATATGGCTTGGAGAAGTTGCATCTTCAGGTTCCTCAGTTATAAAATGGAACGAAAACCTATGTTGCATGTTACTGTGGAGAACGGAGATTGTGCTGTAAAGCGTCCATCACAGTGTTGCTGCTTAATAGGTGCTTGATAAATGAAAGCCATAAATATTTTTATTATTACTTGTTACATTCAGGAGAAATGCTACTTATAAATCTATATTGTGTGACTACAATAATGTAACTACCTGTAATGTATTTTGTGACTTCTAATGGTACTTTGTTAAAACTCATGTATAGATTGACAGCATCCCAAGTAGTAGATATGGAATAAGATTTTAAAAATCTAATTGATCTACAACATAAGGTAGAATGTTACATTACCATTGGTATTTATTTTGGTGATATTAGGTTTATTATTGATCACAGTCTAAATTTGAAAAAATGACAGTTGGGAAATCTTGGAATAGAATGTCTAAACCAGAGATAAACATTCATTGTGTTCTGTGTAATAAAGTGGCATTTAGTGCACTCTTGTGGCATAAAAATATTAATGCAGTTTCCAAAGATATCAGTAATACACTATTACATGTGAGAGAACCTTGTGTTAAAGTACAATTGCCTTTTTCAGACTATTCTTTAAAAGCAAGACAACAACAACAGCAAAAGCAAACATAAACCTGTCTCTAAAAACCAGTCCGCTCTAGGTAAATACATAAAGTAGAGAAGAAACTTATGGCTAGCTCAAAAATTCATAGGTTTTAAACATGTCAAATGAATTCTGGCTATCTAAGAAAATCCACTGGGTTTTCGTATGTACATAGAGCAAAGTAGAAGAGAAATTTTAGCCAGAGCCTGAGATGAAAGTCTAAGTGGTTCTTTTACTTCTGTGAGAAGAATTTGACAGGAAGACTAGTGGAAGAGAGGCTGTGAAGGAACTTGTGCTAGGTTTCTTATCTGCCAGCCACTATAAGGTTAGAAAGGCAGTATTTGTTTGGTGAGACTGATAGATAGGAAACTTGACTGGTACTTAATGGAAATGTTGTATGAAGTACACTGACATAAGTTTCTGGGAGAGGAACTGGATGACTGGGAAACAAAAGTGAGAAGGTAGCCTTTTCCCTGTAGAACCTTTTGTATCTTAAATTTTAAACCATTCGAATGTATTATTATATTAAAAGACATTAAAACAACAGAAAAATAAGCTACCTTCTATTTCAACTACCTGGGTACTTTTTTAAAAAACAGCATTTTTAGGGGTGTCTGGGTGGCTCAGTTGGTTAAGTATTTGACTCTTGATTTCGGCTCAGGTCATGATCTCATGGTTCACGGGTTTGAGCCCTGCATGGGGCTCTTTGCTGACAGCATGAGCCTGTCAGATTCCTTCTCCCACCCACCCTCAATCTCCCCATCTCTCTGCCTCTCTTGCTTGTACCCACGTGTGTGTTCTCTCTCTGTCAAATAAATAAACATTTTTTAAAAACATAGTATTTTTATACTCCTAAGAATTGGGTGAAAAAGAAAATCAAATAAGTAACAACAGACTACTTAGAAATTCATTTGTTCATTCATTTCCTAGGAGTTGGTAATAAAATTTTTTTTTAAATTTTAGAGCAGTTTTGGGTCTACAGCAAAATTGAGCAGAGGGTTCTGCCTCCACACATGCATAGCCTTTCTCATTTTCCACATCAGCCCTCCATCCCTAGTGGTACATTTGTTACAGTTGAACTTAAATTGGTACTTCATTATTATTGAAAGTCCATAGTTTACATTAGGGCTCACCGTGGTGGTTTAAATCCTATATGTTTGGGCAAATGTATAATGACACGTATCTACCATTATAGTATCAGAGTTGTTTCCTTTCACTGCCCTAAAAATCTGTTCTTTAACCACTGTTCCTTTTACCATCTCCATAGATTTGCCTTTTCCACAATGTCATAGTTGGAATCATAAAGTACACAGTCATTTCAGATTGGTTTCTTTCACTTAGTAATATGCATTTAAGTCTCCATGCATTTTCATGGTTTGATATTCCTTTCTTTTTAGCACTGAATAATATTCCATTTTCTGGATATACCATAGTTTATTGATTGATTCACCTACTGAAGGTCATCTTAGTTACTTCCAAGTTGAGGCATTTATGAATAAAGCTGCTGTAAATATCCGTTTTGCAGATTTTTGTGTGGACATAAGTTTTCAGCTCCTTTGGGAAATACCAAGGAGCATGATTGCTGGATTGTGTGGTAAGAATATGTTTAGTTTTGTAGGAAACTACTGAGCTGTCATCCAAAGTGGCTGTATCATTTTGTTTTCCCACCATCAGTGGGTGAGTGTACCTGTTGTTCCACTTCCTTGTCAGCATTTGGTGTTGTCAGTGTTCTGATTTTGGCCATTCTAATAGGTTTGTAGCAGTATCTTGTTTTAATTTGCATTTCTGTGTTCTATGATGGGGAGCAGCTTTGCATATGCTTATTTGCCAATTTTGTATCATCTGTGATGAGGTGTCTGTTAAGGTCTTTAGCTCATTTTTAAATCAGGTTGTTTTGGGGCACCAGAGTGGCTCAGTTGGTTGAGCATCCAACTCTTGATTTTGGTTCAGGCCATGATCCCCGGATCGTGGGATTGAGCCCTGTGTCAGGCTCTGGCTGAGTGTGGAGCCTGCTTAGGATTCTCTCTCTCCCTCTGCCTTTCTCCACTGCTCATGCACACTCTCTCTCAAATTAAAAAAATGAGTTTGTTTTCTCTTACTGCTGAGTTCTTCTTTTTATTTTTTTATTAATGTTCATTTAAAAAAAATTTTTTTTAACGTTTTATTTATTTTTGAGACAGGGAGAGACAGAGCATGAACAGGGGAGGGTCAGAGAGAGGGAGACACAATCTGAAACAGGCTCCAGGCTGTCAGCACAGAGCCCGACGCGGGGCTCGAACTCACGGACTGCAAGATCATGACCTGAGCCGAAGTCGGCCGCTTAACTGACTGAGCCACCCAGGCGCCCCTATGTTTATTCATTTTTGAGAGAGAGAGAGAGAGAGAGAGAGAGAGAGAGAGAGAGCATGACAGCAAGTGAGGGAGGGGCAGAAAGGGAGACAGAGGATCCGAAGTGGGTTCCAAGCTGAGGGCAGAGAGCCTGATGCAAGGCCAAACTCACGAATTGTGAGATCATGACCTGAGCCAAAGTCAGATGCTTAACCAGCTGAACCACGCAGGCACCCCGTTCTTACTGTTGAGTTCTAAGCCTGTGGACCAAGTAAGTTTTAAGGGAAATTGGAAAATCTTCTGAACTGAATAATATTACAGTATATCAAAATTTGTGGGTACAGATGAAGGAGTGCTTGGAGGAAATTTATAGCTTTAAATACTTAGGTAACAAAGGAGAAGTTTTGAATTAATGGTCTATTTTCACTTTCTTAAATGAGAAAAAGATGAGAAGACACCTAAGTAAGTAGAAGGGAGAAAAGAATGAAGAGTGGAATTCAATGAAACAGAAGTAGGGTAAACAATAAAAGAATTATATTTAAAAATATTAAGTGGACAAATTCCTAGCAGAGCATAAGAAACAGAGAACACAGAGATTACCAATTTAAGATGAGAAAGAGGATATCACTACTGATCTTCTAGCCATTAAAAGAATAAAAAAAATTAGGGCAGTAAAGTTGGCAATCAGTGTATATAAAATGGACAAAGTCTGAAAAAAAAACACTGCTTACCAAACTGACACAGAAGAAATAGAAAAATCACAATAGTCCTGTATCAAAGAAATTGAGTTCATTATTAAACACTTCCCATGAAAATAATTTCCTACAGAGATGGGGTCACTTATGAAATCTATCAAACATTTAAGCAAGAAATAACACCAGTCTTTTTTTTTTTTTAGTTTTTAATTTTAATTCCAGTATAGTTAACATACAGTGTTATATTAGTTTCAGGTATATAATATCATGATTGTATGCATTACCCAGTACTCGTCATGATAAGTATACTCTTTAATCACCATCACCTATTTCATGTATTCCTGCCTGCCCCCCCCCCACCACCGTAACCATCAGTTTGTCCTCTACAGTTAAGAGTCTGTTTCTTGGTTTGTCTTTTTCTCTTTTTCCCCCTTTGTTTGGAAATAACACCAAAATTCTTCTATATTAAAAATTTTTTTTTAAGTTTATTTTTCAGAGAGATAGAGAGCATGCACAAGTGAGGGAGGGGGCAGAGAGAGGGAGAAGAATCTTATGCAGACGATATGCTGTCAGTGCAGAGCCCGATACAGGATTCAGACTCACAAACCATGAGATCATGACTTGAGCCAAAATCAAGAGTCAGATACTTAACTGAGTTACCCAGGCGCCCTGGGAATAACACCAATCCTACATAAACTCTTTTAGAAAATAGAGGAGAGGGGAACTTTCCCAGATTGTTTTATAAAATCTGCATAATCTTGATAATAAAACCTGACAGAGACATTGTAAGAAAAAAAAATTACACCAGTATCCCTTATGAACATAGATATAATTTTTTTTTTTTTAATTTTAGAGAGCATGTGGGTGGGGGTTGGGGAGAGAAAGAGAGAGAAGACCTTAAATGCTCAGCACAGAGCCCAATGCAGGGCTTGATCCTGTCACCCTGTGATTCATGACCTCAGCCAAAGTCAAGAGTCAGATGCTCAACCGACTGAGCCACCCAGGTGCCCCCATAGACATGAAATTTTTTAACAAGATATTAACAAATCACATTCAGCAATATAAAAAACAGCTAATACATCATAACCAAGTAGGTTTATCTCAGGAAATCAAGACTGATAGAACATTTGAAAATCAGTGTTATTCACATATTAACAGAATAAAGGGGAAATACCTGATCATCTCAAGAGAGGTCAAAAAAGCATTTGACAAAATTAAATCAGTTATGATAAAAGCTCTTAACAGACTTTGAATAGTAGGGAAATTACTCAATCTGGTAAAGACCGTTGTTAGAGACAACATGATGGTTTGTGTAGGAAAATTCCAAGGAATCTGTAAAATGACTATTAGCACATCCACATGATGTAAAATGATGTATGTAAAGAATCTTTCATGATCAGAGAAAATATTGTATGAAATGGATTAAATAGATTATAAAATTGTGTGTGTTCTCCCCATGTTAAGATATCATGCATAAAATGGCAAGAAAAATAAAAATGATTACACTGATATTGCTGAGTGGTAGGTTTAGGGAGGATAATTTTCTATATTTTCCAATTTAAAAATACAGATTTTGAAAAATTATACAGAATTACATTATTACATGTTTATTAAAAACCATATCTTTTTAAATCAGCCATAACAGACAGGAAACTTTGAGGCACTGAGAATTGCTATTGTTACTAAAGCATGAAACAGACATGAAATTACATTTTATAGCCAATTTAATGCTGTAAAACCTACATTTACACCCCATTCAGAATTATGCTGCACTAATGGTACAGTACAAATTCAGAAGAGAATTTCCATCATTCAGAAATTTATAGTATAGTGACATGTCAGGGATCCTGATTGCCTATTTTTTTTAATAAAAAATGAGCTTTTAGGGGCGCCTGGGTGGCGCAGTCGGTTGGGCGTCCGACTTCAGCCAGGTCACGATCTCGCGGTCCGTGAGTTCGAGCCCCGCGTCGGGCTCTGGGCTGATGGCTCAGAGCCTGGAGCCTGTTTCCGATTCTGTGTCTCCCTCTCTCTCTGCCCCTCCCCCGTTCGTGCTCTGTCTCTCTCTGTCCCAAAAATAAATAAACGTTGAAAAAAAAAAAAAAATGAGCTTTTATAAGTAACATTTTTTTAAAATTAGGTAGCGTATTGTTTTAAAAAAAAAAACTTATAAAAAGAGAAAAAGTCAACCACCAAAAACTTTGGTCTCTATTTTAATAAAAAAATTCTCCCCCAATACCCTGAGTGCCCAGGTATTGGCCAGGACACTAGTGAGACACTAGTGAGGGTGCTGGATATGTTATATGTTGATCTGGGTAGTAGCTATAGGGGTATTTATGTAAGATAAGGGATCTGTACATTAATGATCTATGCTTTTTAATTTTTGTGTGTAAGTTACACCTCAGTTTGTCTATTTTAACAAGTACATTTTATAAAATGTTTCTCCCTTCAGGGTTGCTCTTAGATTGGTTTTTCATATGTTTTTATGGTCCTGTGTTGAAGAACATGCTCTCATATCTTTATTTCTCTCCTGCTTTAGGAACACGTATCGCATGATTGAACAAGATGACTTTGACATTAACACCAGGCTACACACGATTGTTAGGGGGGAAGATGAGGCAGCCATGGTGGAGTCAGTAGGCCTGGCCCTAGTGAAGCTACCAGATGTCCTTAATCGTTTGAAGCCTGATATCATGATTGTTCATGGAGACAGATTTGATGCCCTGGCTCTGGCTACTTCTGCTGCCTTGATGAATATCCGAATCCTTCATATTGAAGGGGGAGAAGTCAGTGGGACCATTGACGATTCTATCAGACATGCCATAACAAAACTGGCTCATTATCATGTGTGTTGCACCCGAAGTGCAGAGCAGCACCTGATATCCATGTGTGAGGACCATGATCGCATCCTTCTGGCAGGCTGCCCTTCCTATGACAAACTTCTCTCTGCCAAGAACAAAGACTACATGAGCATCATTCGGATGTGGTTAGGTACGTATCAAACTCTATTCACTCTGATGGTTGTTTTTGTCGGTGTTGGGTATGTTTCAGTTCTTTCAGAAACCATTGTAGGTAGACTATTCCATTAGAAATCGGAAGGCTAAAGTTTTAGTTCATAGATCTCACCTTATGGCATGACTTCACCTCTCTGAGACTTCTCAAGTTTTTATTTTTATTTATTTTGAGAGAGAGTGCACACCCACGTGTGAGCAGGGAAGGGGCAGAGAGAGAGGGAGAGAGAGAACCCCAAGCAGGCTCTGTTCTGTCAGCACAGAGCCTGATGTGGGGCTCGAACTCATGAACCCTGAGATCATGTTTAGCTACACCTTAAAGCAATCTTGAGTTTCATCGATTCATTAATACTGCTGGTAATTTGCTAGAAACGGAGAAGATTTACATTTTTCTAATGCTTTGAAATATTTTGGATTTTATTTAATTTATTTATTATTATTATTATTTTTTAATGTTCACTTAGAGCAGAAGCAGGGGAGGGGCAGAGAGAGAGGGAGAGAAAAAATCCCATGCAGGCTCCATGCTGTTAGTGCAGAGCCCAGTGTGGGGCTTGATCCCACAGACTGAGATCATGACCTGAACTGAAACTAAGAGTTGGATGCCCAACTGACTGAGCCACTCAGGTGCCCGCCCCTATTTATTTACTTTAAAGTTTATTTTGAGAGAGAGAGAGAGAGTGCAAGAGTGTGCATGTGAGCAGGAGAGGGGCAGAGAGAAGCAGGGAGAGAGAGAATCCCAAGCATGCTCCATGCTGTCAGTGCAGAGCCTGACGTGGGGCTTGATCTCATGACCTGAGTCAAAATCAAGAGTCAGATGCTTAACCAACTGAGCCACCCAGGTGCCCCTGAACTATTTTGGGTTTTAAAACAATGGGTTCTAGTGACAGCTACTTAAAGTTAGATATTTTGTTTATGGTAGCAAGCACCTTTATAAAATTTGCTGGATTCTTGGACTTGGTGCTCTAAATTCTTACTTTTTTATTTATTTTTTTATTTTTATTTTTTTGAGAGAGAGTGCACAGGGAGGGGCAGAGAGGGAGAGAGAATCTTAAGGTCCACATCCAGTGCCAAGCCCAACTCGGAACTTGATCTCAGGACTGTGAGATCGTGACTTGAGCCAAAATCAAGAGTTGGATGCTTAACCGACTGAGCCACCCAGGCGCTCCAAGTTCTTAGTGTTTGATCCTATGTCCAGATACTCTACCTGGAATGTGACAAACTTTTTTCCTTAAAACTTTTGAAAACACAGACTTTGGGGTCTTAACGTTTTAGAATTTGCTTCTTCCTCTTTAAGATTCTTAACTAATGAAGCAACGTGGTTTGATTTTCTTTAAACAGGTGATGATGTAAAATCTAAAGATTACATTGTTGCGCTACAGCACCCTGTGACCACTGACATTAAGCATTCCATAAAAATGTTTGAATTAACATTGGATGCGCTTATCTCATTTAACAAGCGGACCCTAGTTCTGTTTCCAAACATAGATGCAGGTAATTGGAAATGAAATTATGCCACCTCCTTTTCTGATTTTATGTTTCTATTATGTCCCCTTTTGACTGCCCCTCCTATCTTATCTTATCATTGAAGGCCACTGTATTCTGAAATGCATTCCAGTTTTTAGGGGGTCACCAATATTGTAGTAGATTGAAGTTTGTGATGTTTTTGCCAAGTCTGATAGAAACTGGGTAGGAAAGAAAGAAATACTTAAAAAAAGTTTTCTCTAATCTCCACTGTAGTTCCAAGTTTAGTCTCTGTCCCCCAGTTTCCACCAATGAGAAAATGCAGTAGCTAAAAGACAAACCTTAGAGAGTGAAAGGGTATCTCTAGGAAAGTAATGATCCAAGTGAGTGCAATAAAATAGCCCTTACTGTTATTTCTTGTTCCCTTATTTATATTAGCTATACCTTAATCTTGAGCACAGGCAGTTTAGATCCGGAGTCCCCAACCAGTTTGTCCTTAAGCCTGACCTGATGGATCACCTACTGGTGGATGGTACTGTAGCCTTTGGTGCTGGTGAGACCTTAGGCAGGTTAATGGGAATGTGAGCTATAAGTGAGAAATGCAGAGCAGGGCCTGGTGCTACAGAATTTTCAAGTACTGGTTTAGCTGACACCACTCGTTGCTGAGCTTTTAGGCATTTTTTGGTAAAGGAGGCAGGACTCTTCTCTGCAGTATCAAGATGTCAGCATCTTACTCTGAAAGTATTCTTCTTAGTGTCTCTTGAATAATCTTTTCTATTAGGGGAAACAAAGTAGGATGTTAGTTGGAAAAAAGAAGAACTCCCAACCCAGGTTTCATCCCGGTAACATATTAGTATTTCAAAAATGTTAATATTGATTCTTCTAACCCTTTAAATTTTCTATAAATATTTGGTAATGTAATTATATATCTCTGATTCAATATTCATTGTCCGCGATACTCTGTTTATAATATACTTTCCTGATTGTACACACTTTAGAATTAGAGATATTTTTCCCCAGTGAAAATAAAGGGCCCCAGGAATGCCCAAATCATGTCTGCTACATGCCCCTCTCCTCCTCACGGGGCTTTTGATAAAATTAACACAAGGAACTTAAGGGAAGTAAGAATCACGGCATCCATTTATCATTATGAGGCTTAGTGCCCAATTCCCCAATGGAGGAGAATAGAAGTAGTGTCTGTGGTTTAGCCTTAAGGCCAGAGAAAGCCTTCAGTGAGCCTAAATCTGAATCTCAGAATAGTACTACCTTCTGGCGTACTAAATACTACAATAATTATAGTTGATGACTGACGTGCTCTGGCAGAACTGGATATAGAGAGGGGTGGCCAGGCCTGCGGTAGGGAGTTAGACCCTGAGTCTGTCACCTACCTTGCCACATAGAGAAAGTTAAAAAGAGAGAAAGCACATGTGTGCCCAACTTCTGTTACGTCAGTGGCTCTGCCCACCATTAAATATGGTGTGCTAACACAGTTTGGTGCTCACGGTCTTGTCTAAGTAATAAGATTAGCAACCTTATCTCCCTTGTTAGATGCTGGTTAGGAAAGGGTGAGTAAAGAGGCAAGCAGAGAGGCATTAATTATTGCCTCCCCCTTCATACACCTGTACCATTTTAAATAATCCTGCATTTAATATAAAATACCAGCCACAGTATCAGGTTCTACATGCATTTTGTTGGAGTTTAGTCCATGTAATCAGGGATGCTATCCAGTTGAGCAGTTGTTAGGGTAAATATGAGCATAGCTAAGGCAGAGGCTCTCTAATCAGCTTGGTGTGTGGAGCCCGAGACCTTTCAATTTAGGAACTCCCAGCTTAAGAGAGAGACACTGTTGGCCGGTCTTGCTTCTTAGTTGTTGTTTAATGTAAAGGCTTTTATTGGGGCATTAGTAAGAGGTATTTACTTTGATGAATGCTGTTTAATGTTCCTAGATGAGTTGAAGCAGAGAGCTGACCAGACATTTTAAATATTCATCATTCCTGGAAAGATCAGTAATTAAAATTATTATCTCCCTAATAACCATTGTGCATCTGCATAGAACAATTTCTTTAAGTGGGGCTATACTTGCCAGTGAAAATGGTTTTTTTAATCTCATAAACCATTTAACAGTTGATTTTCATTTTCACAGGGAGCAAAGAGATGGTTCGAGTGATGCGGAAGAAGGGCATTGAGCATCATCCCAACTTCCGTGCAGTTAAACACGTCCCATTTGACCAGTTTATACAGCTGGTTGCCCATGCTGGTTGTATGATTGGGAACAGCAGCTGTGGAGTACGAGAGGTTGGAGCTTTTGGAACACCTGTGATTAATCTTGGAACACGTCAGATTGGAAGAGAAACAGGTATTTACCTTTGTCCATGTCTCAGCTATCTAGAGATATATATGAAAGCAGTGGCTCTGGCAAGCACAGTGTGGTCATTGCCCTGCTGTCTAACCAATCAGATTAGTAACTTGGCCTCCCATGGTAGGCAGTAGCTAGGAGAAGGTGAGAGAAGAGGCATTAAGTATTGGCTCCCCCTCATACATCTGTAACATCTTTAAAATTCTGTATATGAATTATTACAAGGCAGTGCTGGCATATATTTTTATGAATCAGTGAGTGAATGAGGTTAATGACCAGTTGTAGCCTAAAATCTGTAAATAGCACAAAGTGATTACCAAATTTTTTTAGGGCTCTACATTTATTTTTATTGTCTTTGTAATATCAGAGCTAAGAGTTTCTTAGCTGATTATGGTCTTTGATGGCTGTGGGTAAGTTAGAATGGTTGAATGTATTATAAGTATATGAATGCTAGTCTCATTTTTGGGTACAGTAGAGTACTTTTAGTGAGTAGTTTCGAGCATGAAAACTCTAAGATGCTCCCTTAATAACTGAAGGATAAAGAAATTTTATTATTAATTTGCTAATTGAGTTAGATCTTGTTTTTAATAGTAGTCTAAATTCTAATACTATACATGGAAATATATTTCTGTAGCTAATGGAAAAATGTATGGACTTTGTGAAAAAAGAACAAGACTAGAATCAAGGAGGTTAGTTTCAGCTCTGCTTTTTCTCTATTCGTAATTGCTACCCTAATTTTCTGTTGTCTTTAGGTCTTCTTTCCCTTACATTATTATTTGTTTTTAATTTACATCCAAGTTAGCATATAGTGCAACAATGATTTCAGGGGCAGATTCCTTTATGCCCCTTACCCGTTTAGCCCATCCCCCCCTCCCACAACCCCTCCAGTAACTCTCTGTTCTCTATATTTAAGAGTCTCTTATATTTTGTCCCTCTCCCTGTTTTTATATTATTTTTGCTTCCCTTATGTTCATCTGTTCTGTGTCTTAAAGTCCTCATATGGGTCATA